GTACTTCTAGTAAACACGCGAGGCTTCCCGAAGGGGCATGGTTTTTCTAGAAGTTCATGACGTGTTACTAGCGTCACGTGACTTCCTCTGTAGTAACATTATTATTCCTCTTTTTCAATAAAAGTGATTAAAAATGATCTATGTAATTGATGTAATTATTATCTTATTAATCTTACATTTTTGGTGTAAAAAGTCTGAAAAATTATGCTTTGTGAATTCTTCTAACAAAGGTTAAATTGTTGTTGGATAGTCAACATAGTTGTACTAGGAGAAAATCTTAACTTACTAATCTTTTGACATTATTCGAAGAGGTTACTATTTATGTAGATGAAGGCAAGGTTTATTTTTATTTTTTTGGTTAAAAATGACCTCTATAAGTGTTGAGAGTAAGTTAGCTTGTTGGTTGGAAAAATAATTAGATGAAAGAAAGCAGAGGGTTTTACAAATAAAGTTCAGCTGGCCAATCTGTATTAGTATTATAAGTGGATTATGTATGCTGAGTGTCAGAACCTTTACTGTTTTTTTATCGTTGGCAAAGATGAAAGAATGATTAATCAAGTTGTGAGGTAGCGAATTCTAATTTTATTTTGTTATGGTTTTGTTTACTGTTCATTTATTATTCATTCTATCATTTAGTTCAACTATGAATTTTTAGTTTTCTTAAAACATTAACTCACCTTCTAGCTAGAACACGTTGAATTTAAGTATCTTTGTTTGTATTATGAAACTAGCGCAAGCTTCTCTTAGTGGTGTTGTGAAAGAGCATGTAAATTAAGTAGTCACATGAGATTTAACCTCATAGTCTAACCAATGCCTTGATCAAAATTGAGTTAGTTCACGAGATATAGTTAAAACGAATTATTGCTGCTAATTACTGGATATTCTTATTCATAAAATTTTAAAGGGACAACAAGGAGCATATCAGCCCCTCAAGGATGTCCCTTCCAGCTCCCAACTATATCCACCCCTTACTACTCATGTATTTATCCAGACTTTTCTTGAACTCAGTTAAATTTTCTGCCTCCACAACCCTTGAGGGCAGTTCATTCCAAAAGCCAACCACCCTGTTTGAAAAGTAATACTGTCTAAACTGCAGACGACTCCTACGCTGCCAAAATTTGAATTTATGACCCCTTATCCTATTGTTTTCACTGCTAAACACAAAATAAGGTTGATGGATTTACATTATCAATGCCCATAATAATCTTAAACTCCTCAAACAAATCCCTTCTGGCCCTTATCTTCTTCAGAGAAAACAAATTTAGAGATTTTAGTCTCTCCTCATAGAACAATCCTACCATCCCAGATATTATTCTAGTGGCTTTTCTCTGAACCTTCTCCAACAATTCAATTTTCTTCTTGAGGATGGGAGTCCAAAACTGTACACATTACTCTAAATGATACCTTACTCAATATTTCTATAGATGCCACCCAAAATCCTATTAATCCTACAGTACACTGTTTAGAATTTAGATGACTTAAGTGCTTTTTCGATCAGAACACCAAGGTATTTTTGTTCAACCATAGTATTTAATGTATTCCCATTTAAATTGTAACAATAATTTGAAATATGAAAATCCACATGCA